GCTGGGCATGGTGGCGCGTGCCTGTAGTCCCAGATACTTGGGATGCTGTATCTGGGAGGATCATCTAAGCTTGGGAGGTCGAGGCTGCAGTGAGCCATGATCTTGCTATTGCACTCCAGCCTGAGTGACAGAGTGAGACCCTGCCCCTCTCTCTTTCTCTCCCTCTCTTCATATACACACACACACACACACACACACACACACACACACACACACATATATATATATATATATATATATATATATATATATATATATATATAGTGACCCAGCATTTCATGTCCAGAAATCAATTGCTCTGAGAGCAGACTGGGTGAGTCAACTCTAGTATATTCAGTGGCATATGAGACATACTGAGAAGAGTGAGCTATACGCAAGTTCAAGCTTTCGAACACCCAAGTCACCGAGAATCACACTGTCGCTCAGGGAAGAGAGCGTGACACCTCTTGGTTGGAGATTTGAGAAGGGAATACACGTGGTCGATTCAGCATATTTATTTGTAAGCCATAAGCAAACATGTGATTCTTGACTGTGATTCTTTTGCTTGGGAACAAAGCCAGGGGAAGCCACTGTAGGTTTGGTGTGAGGAGGCCCCGCAGGCGGTTGCTCACCTCGGAAGATGGTCTGCAAAGAGGTGAAAGCCAGGGCACGTTCACACATTGGAAGAAAAGACATGTGTCTTTTCTGGGGCTGCCAGCCAATGCAGACCCCAAGCTGAGACCCTCTGAAGGGCTGGTTTGTATGGGAAAGACTGCTGGAACACGGGGATGGCAATGTGTGCTATAAGCCCCATCTTCTCGGCTGGCTTCAGGACGGGATCAGATGTGGTGGCGGTTGTAGAGATAGGACGGGTACAGGCCATCATAGTGCCACTGGCGCCACTGCTCCACAGCCTCCCGGCTCCTCTCTTCCTGCTCTGAGGAGGAAAGGCAAAGCCGCCTGTTCCGACAGGGGGACTCTGACCTGCCACAGCCCAGCAGCCGTCAGCCCAACCCCTGCCCTGTGGTGACCTGCACTGGGAGTGCTTGTGACTCCTGGTGAGAGAAGGCCAGGGCTAGTGAGGACCCAGAGTTGACAGGCCTTGCTTATAGGTCAGGGCCAGATGGGCAAAGGTCACAGGCAGGTGTAGACCAGGGCTGGGCATCTCAGGCTCTTCTGCCTGCACAGCTAGTGTAGGCAGACAGAGGCATATGCAGCCCTGTTTCAAAGAGATAGCAACCAAGACACAAGATGAAAAAATAACAACGTAGTAGCAGGAATGGACTCACGCAAGAAAAAAAAAAAGAGAAGGGACGACAAACCATGCCTTGAAAACATGAAGGAAATCAGTCAACTTGGAGTTTTCCTTACTGTTCAGAATTAATTTTCTTTCTTTTCCTTCTTTCTTGTTTCATTTTGTTTTGAGACAGGGTCTCAGTCTGTCACCCAGGCTGGAGTGCAGTGGCATGATCATGGCCCACTGCAGCCTCCACTTCCCAGGACTCAGGCGATCCTCCCACTTCAGCCTCCTGTGCCACCACGCCAGCTATATTTTTAAATTTTTTTGTAGAGATGGGATTTCACTGTTGTCCAGGTCAGTCTCCAACTCCTGGTCTCAAGCGATCCTCCTGCCTCAGCCTCCCATAGTGCTGGGATTGGCCAGGTGCAGTGGCTCATGCCTGTAATCCCAGCACTTTGACTTTGGGAGGCTGAGGCCAGCAGATCACCTGAGGTCAGGAGTTCAAGACTAACCTGGTCAACATGGGGAAACCCTGTCTTTACTAAAAAAACACAAAAATTAACCAGGCGTGGTGACATGAACCTGTAATCCCAGCTACTTGGGAGGCTCAAGCATGAGAATCACTTGAACCTAGGGGGTGGAGGCTGCAGTGAGCCAAGATTGTGCCACTGCACTCCAGCCTGGGCAACAGAGTGAGATCCTGTCTCAAAAAAAAAAAAAAAAAGGAATATGCCCAAAAGAATTGAAAACAGGGACACAGATACTTGTACGTGAATGTTTGTAGCAATACTACTCACCATAGCCAAGAGGTGAAAACAACCCCAGTGCCCATCAACAAAGAAATAACAAAATGTGGCATGTGTGTGTGTAAAATTTAGCCACAAAAAGTAATGAAGTTCTGGCACATGCTACAACATGGATAAACCTTAAAAATATTATGCTAAGTGGGCCGGGTATGGTGGTGCACACCTATAATCCTAGCACCTGGCCAACATGGTGAAACCCTGTCCCTACTAAAAATACAAAAATTGGCTGGGCGTGGTGGTATGCACCTGTAATCCCAGCTGCTGGGAAGGCTGAGGCAGAAGAATCACTTGAACCCGGGAGATGGAGGTTGCAGTGAGCCGAGATCTTGCCACTGCACTCTAGCCTGGGTGACAGAGCAAGACTCCGTCTCAAAAAATATATATGCTAAGTGAAAGAAGCCCAGACACAAAAAGATGAAGTGTGTGTGATTCCACTTATATGACATGTCTAGAACAGGCAAATTTACAGAGACCAATAAAACTAAAAACTAAAAACAGGCTGCTGGGAGGGAGGAATGGGAAGTTATTGCTTAGTGACATGCAGAGTTTCTATTTGAGGCTATGTAAGGGTTTGGAAATAGCAGTGATCACTGCACAGTGAATGTACTAAATGCTACTGAGTTGCACACTTAAAAATACTTTAGCCTGGGCATGGTGGTTCACGCATGTCATCCCAGCACTTTGGGAGGCCAAACTGGGAGGATCGCTTGAAGCCAGGTGTTTGAGACCAGCCTGAGCCACATAGCAAGACATCGTCTCTACAAAGTTATAATTTAAAAAATTAGCCAGGTGTGATGATGCACACCTATAGTGCCAGCTACGTGGGAGGATCGCTCGAGCCCAGGAGGCTGAGGCTGCAGTGAGCTATGGTCATACCACTGCACTACAATCTGGGCAACAGAGCAAAACCTATCTCAAAAAAAAGAAAAACAAAGAAAGAAAACGTTTTCAATGGCAGGTTTTATGTTATATATGTTTTACCACATTTTTAAAAAGCATTTGTCTAAGATGTTGGAAGGATGGGAAGTCCTAAGAGAAGATGACGTCAAGAATTAAAGAACCAAGATGTCTTTCTTACCGCTGTTCCTCGAATGTGGACCTCACCAAAAAGCCCATGAACCTCATTTTGGTGCCAATGAAACAAACTGGTTTCATCTTCTGTGGCAGTGGCCAACAGGACTGTCTGGTGGCTTCCAGGTGTGAGGAATGGGACGTTGCTTTAGTCCTTAGCACCTGTGAGAGCCACGTGCTCAGGCCGAGACTCACTTCTGCCTAGTTAGGTGCCCGGCACAGTGACCAGGGCATGTTGAGGCACCACTCCTGCCAGGAGCGTTTCCTTCCTATGTGAGCATGGAGCTGGCGCTCCCCTTGGTGCTGAAAATCCCATTAGGTACCTGGTAGCCCAGGGGCAGCCTGGAGCTCACAGAGCCAGAGCCAGGCCCAGGCCAGAGCTTTGCATGTTTACCTTCAGCTCTTTCAGACATTTCTCAAGCCTTGTAGAGCAGCTACTCTTTGCCAAACCTGAGGGTGTGGTTTTCATGTAGAGGTTGATTCAACGTCCTGTTTTTTGTTGTTTTTGTTTTTGAGACAAGTTCTCATTCTATTGCCCAGGCAGAAGTGCAGTAACAGAATCGTAGCTCACTGCAGCCTCCTGGGTTCAAGTGATTCTCCAGCCTCCGCCTCCCAAGTTGCTGGGACTACAGGCATGCACCACCATGCCTGCCTAATTTTTAATAGAGACAAGGTCTCGTGTTGCTAGGGCTTAACACCTTGGCCTCCCAAAGTTCTGGGATTACAGGTGTGAGCCATGATGCCCACTCGGCATTCCTTTTATGAAATAAGTACTTTGGGGAGATGTCGAGTATCCAACTGCTATCAGTTACCCTTAGAATAGATGACACAGGACTGGGCGCTGTGGCTCACATCTGTAATCCTAGCACTTTGGGAGGCTGAGGCAGGTGGATCACCTGAGGTCAGGAGTTCAAGACCAACCTGGCCAACATGGTGAAAACCCGTCTCTACCAAAAATACAAAAATTAGCCAGGCGTGGTGGCTCACACCTGTACTCCCAGCTACTTGGGAGGCTGAAGCAGGAGAATCGCTTGAACCTGGGAGGTGGAGGTTGCAGTGAGCCGAGATCACGCCACTGCACTCCAAGTGGACAGCAGAAAGAGACTCCATCTCAAAAAAATAGGAGACTTGGTTAGATAAGACAGAAGACAGCAGCTAGATGAAACCAGGGTCCCGACTGACAGGTATATCAGGGACCTCAGAGGAGGGCTTGGAAGCCAGATGCCTCGAGCACCACCCCAGGGATGGTTTCAGGCAAGCAGGCCATGGTGCAGCGCTGTCAGTCACAGGCAAGGGAGAGGAAAGAAGATTGAAACTAATTCTGCCTCCTCCCTCCATCGGGCCAATTCCTGGATCAAAGAAGCTCTCCAAGCCCTCTGCACATGTGCTCATCCTTGATTTACAAGAATAAGAGCTTTGCTGGCCAGTACGCCTTGGTGTTGTAATGCGAGGGCTATCTACTAGCAGCGTCTCCTTGGGTATTTACGCATCCTTTCCAAGCCTCAGTTTTTAATTTTTGTGGTTGAGGGCTTTTTTTTTTTTTTTTCCTGAGACAGTGTCTTGCTCTGTTGCCTAGGCTGGAGTGCAGGGGCATGATCATAGTCACTCTAGCCTTGAACTCCCCAGGATCAAGCGTTCCTCTCTCAACCACCCAAGTAGCTGGGACTACAGGCACATGCCACCAGCCCCGCTAATTTTCTAATTTTTGGTAGAGATGGTGTGTCTCTGTGTTGCTCAGGCTGGTCCCGAACTCCTGGGCTGAAGCCATCCTCATGCCTCAGCCTCCAGAGTAACGAACTACAGACACATGCCACCATGTATGCCCAGCTTATTTTTTTTAATTGAAATTTTTTTTTTGTTTTGTAGAGATGGAACCTCGTTTTATTACCCAAGCTAGTCTTAAACTCCTGGCTTCAAGTAATGCTCTCACATTGGCCTCCCAAAATGCTGGGATTACAGGTGTGAGCTACGGTGCCCAGCCTAAGCCTCAATTTTTGAAACTGTGGGCTGGAAATTACAAGGCCTGTCTCAGAGGCAGGTTGTAAGGATTAGGTCGTCCCTTACAGTGCCTGGCAGAGCAAGGGCTCAAGGACAACAGCTTCTGGAACCTCAGTCCCCAAAGACCTGTGTTTTTTCCATCTGTGTGTGCGAGACCTAGCGTCTCCTGCCTTCCTGTCCTGTCAGAGGACCTGCAGGCGCCCAACCCTGCATCCCAAATTCATCATGAAAAGGGAAACAGTGAATGTTTTTCCATCAACGCGCCAGAGCTTTGGACCTCAAACATTTAAAACTGCTCAAAATAAAATGCTATTTTAAATAGTATGAGTCGAAAACACACTGAAGGAATTTTGAAGGCCACATTTTCAATTTTTAAATGCCTCTCCCCAAGCTGCCCACCAAGATAAACACATCTCTAGCAGAAGTGTGTGCTTCCAAGCTGTGACGGCCGGAATTTTTCCCAGTATGTCCCTAAGAGAGTTTGATTTGCCAGGATCCAAACCCAACACCTGTTTGCAGAGCTCAGCCAGGTGCCACCTGCAGGGCAGTGGGCATAGGCATAGCCTGCAGCACTTGGTACCCAGGGCTGGTTTCCTTTTCACTAAGAGATGCCTTCCGAGGGTGCTGCCTCCCCAGTCCATCAGAGCAAACAGCCAGGAGAACCCAAAGGGCTGACTCTCCAACAAAGGTGACCTAAACCGAGGCCTCACATCCAAGTTTACGTGCACCCAGGAGGTACCAGGTGATTTTCCTCAGGAGCATTACAATCTTCAAATTTGGAGAAAGGAAGAAAGAAATAAAAATGAAACAATGAAAAGAGAAAGAATGAAAGAAAGAAACAGAAAGAAGGAAGGAAGGGAGGGAGGGAGGGAGGAGGCTGGGCACCGTGGCTTACACCTGTAATCCCAGCTCCTTGGGAGGCCGAGACAGGCAGATTACTTGAAGTCAGGAAGTCATAGCCACCCTGGCCAACATGGTGAATCCCTGCCTCTACCCAAACGACAAAAATTAGCCGGGCACGGTGGTGCACACCTGTAGTCCCAGCTACTCAGAAGGCTGAGACATGAGAATCGCTTGAACTTGGAGAACTTGGAGGCGGAGGTTGCAGTGAGTGGAGAGAGCCACTGTACTCCAGCCTGGGCAACAGAGTGAGACTTGGGAAAAAAAAAAAGAAGGAAAGAAAGAAAGAGAAACAAGAGAAAACCGAGAGAGGGAGGGGGAGGGGGAGGAAGGAAGGGAGGGAGGGAAAGGGGAAGGGAGGGAGGGAGGGGGGAAGGGAGGTAGGGAGGGAGGGAAAGGAGGGAAGGGAGGGAGGGAGGGAGGGAGGGGGGGGAGGGAGGGAAAGAAAGAAAATAAGTAGACACACACACACACACACACACACACACACACACACACACACAGGTACACTGGTCTCATTCCCATTAAATGTTTCTAAGGATGTTTGCTGTGGGTGACTCTTGAGAGTACTTCATAGACAACAAAATTAAATCCCACCCCTTGGGAGGCTGTGGCTCAAAGACAGAGCATTCTCTACCTGTGTCCCCAGCCACATCATCCTCCACTGAGCCCTGGCAAGGCCGGCACTTCCTGAGGGCAGAGAGGAACGCTGTCTGCTGAGGCAATGAGCATGGGAACAAGGCGTGCGGATTGCCTAGCCAGGGATGCTGCCCTCCCTGGGCCTTTTCTTTCTTTTTTGAGACAGAGTCTTGCTCTGTTGCCCAGGCTGGAGTGCAGCGGTGCGATCTCTGCTCACTGCTACCTCCGCCTCCAGGTTTCAAGCAATTCACCTGCCTCAGCCTCACAAGTAGCTGAGACTACAGATGTGCACCACCACGTCTGGCTAATTTTTTATTTTTAGTAGAGATCAGGTTTCGCCATGTTGGCCATGGTGGTCTTGAACTCCTGACCTCAAATAATCCACCTGCCTCAGTCCCCCAAAACGCCTGGCCTCCCTGGGCACTTCCTACTCTTTATTGTTCTACTAGTAAGCAAAAAAAACCAAGGCTTGGCTAAGAGGATACAAACAGGAGAAGCATAAAGCCACCGAAATCCATACAAACATTTTCCGATGCTTGTGGATGAACTGGAGCCTGAAGATGGGCTATAGATGTTGATCCTGGTGGCGGTGGGGGGAGGAGAGAGGGCAGAAGGCAAGGTGTTTTCTGAGTTCAGATTTCCTGGTTTGCTTCTGCCAGTCAGTAAGGATGCTGAGTATACTGAATAGGTCAATGAAGCCCTTGATTTTCCAGGTTGAAGTAGTACGTGGAGCCTGACATTGACGTGAATATAAGGCACCTGCAAGTGAGTCTGCAATCTCCCCAGTACAATCCTGCCAGAGCTAAACCTAAGCTTTGGTGCTTAGAGAACACAGACCAGCACAGTCATGCCCAAGTAGGAAGAGGGAGGGAAAGGAGTTTTATATCCATACAGTCAGCAAACAGTTCCCCGATCCCCCAGCCCCCAGCCCCCAGCCAATGGGAACAAGTGTGTTCTGTCCCTGCCACACCTTCTTAAGTTCTGTGTAGCCATTTTTCTCCCTTTTTTTTTTCTTTTCTTTTCCTTTCCCCTTCCCTTCCCTTCTCCTTCCTTCCTCTTTTTCTCTTTCCTTCTTTCCTCCTTTTTTAACAGAGTGTCACTCTTTCACCTAGGCTAGAGTGAAGTGACACTATCTCGGCTCACTGCAACCTCCGCCCACTGAGTTCAAGTGATTCTGCTGCCTCAGCCTCCCAAGTAGCTGGGATTACAGGCACCCACCACCACACCCAGCTAATTTTTATATTTTTAGTAGAGACAGAGTTTCATCATCACCATGTTGGCCAAGCTGGTCTTGAACTCTTGACCTCAGGTGATCCACCTGCCACGGCCTCCTGAAGTGCTGGGATTATAGGTATGAGCCAGCTCTCCCTCCTTTTCAAGGCTGTCGTGGATATGAATTGAAAGTAGACCTTCCCTTTCCTTCCTCCTCTAATTAAAAGTTCAGAACCAGCCTGGCCAACATGGCAAAACCCTGTCTCTACTAAATATGCAAAAATTAGCTGGGGGTGGTGGTGGTGCCTGTAATCCCAGCTACTTGGGAAGCTGAAGCAGGAGAATCACTTGAACTTCAGAGGTGGGGGTTGCGGTGAGCTGAGATAGCAGCACTACATTCCAGCGTCGGCAACAGAGCAGAGCAAGACTCCATCTCAAAGAAAGAAGAAAACAGTTGGGTAGAAGAAGAGAAGGCAAGCCATGTGATTTTCCCCCAAAGCTCCACCTCCCTGAAGGCGCTGGCTGAAGAGCCCTTACCATCATTTTGTTCCTCCACGAAGTTCTCAAATTCATTCCTTTGTTCCTCATGATATTCTCTGCGCAGCTCATCAGCCCGAAGCTCCTGCCTGCCTTCCGCTGTGAAAGGAAAAGCAGCCAGAGGTGCCCCCCCCCAAAATGAGGACATTTAAGGGCAAACACTTAGAGGAACACAGTTCACCTGAGAAGTCACACCTGGTTGGGGAGGAGTGGTTTGTGAAGGACCGAGGTTGGAGACTTCCCTGAAATGATTTACTCCTGACACAGACTTGATAGCTTGAAGGTGATTGACCGATCCAACTGCCTCATTTGCAGATGAGAAGACAGAGGCTCCAAAGAGTAAAGTGATTTCGCTTTGATTATAAAGTTGGTGGTGTATCCAAGTATACCAGGCCACTTGGAAACCAGAGATCCCATGGTCAGAAATGAATTCCATCAAGGAATAATCCAATTTAATCTCACGTTAATTAATACATTCAAGTCCATTCGACATTTTTGAGCACTTATCACGACCAGGATATAGGCTGAGCGCTGGAATTAAAAGGCCAAGTAAGAAAGATTCTGTCCCTCCAGCCAGGTATGGTGGCTCATGCCTGTGAGCTTAGCTACTAGGAGGCGGAAGCAGGAGGGTTGCTTGAGGTCAGGAGTTCAAGGCTGCAGTGAGCTATGATCGCGCCACTGCACTCCACTCTGGGCAAAAAAGCGAGACCTTGTCTCAAAAAAAAAAAAAATCTGGCCATCTCGGTGGCTCACACCTGTAACCCCAGCTCTTTGGGAGGCCGAGGCGGGTGGATTGCCTGAGGTCAGGAGTTCCAGATCAGCCTGGCCAACATGGTGAAACCCCATCTCCACTAAAAATACAAAAAAATTAGCCAGGCGTGGTGGCACACACCTGTAATTCCAGTTATTCAGGAGGCTGAGGCAGGAGAATAACTTGAACCTGTGAGACAGGGGTTGTAGTAAGCCATGATCATACCCGTGCACTCCAGCCTGGGAGACAGAGCGAGACTCTACCTCAAAAAAAAAAAAAAAAAAAAAAGAAAAGAAAAACCTGTCCTCTGCTCAAGAGACCTACAACTCAATAAGGAGAAAGACATAAGAATAAGTTTTACCAAGCATTAGAGCTGCTGAAATAAAAATTTCAGTTTGTCTGGAGGCAACGATATAAAGCTCTCTACTTTCAAGTATTTCCTCTAGCATGTGATTCAGCTGGAAAAACCCATGAAGACAGGGAGGCCATGTCTAGGGCAGGAAGAACCAGTCCCTCAGAAGGCCTCACAGTCTCACGGTGGGATTCCCCTCACACCAAATGCGTGAGAGGGAGGTACTGTTTTCTTGCCCCACCAAATCTGATATGTAAGAGAGAGCTGGGGGGTGATGAAGGAAGCAGAGAAACTGAGGAAAGTCATGGTTCCCTACCCCCACCCCGCATGACAGAGGTGCTGGAAGAGACAACAAAAAGCCTTTTTGCAAAATGAAAATATTAGAAACTGTCTCAAGCCGGGCGCGGTGGCTCATGCCTGTAATCCCAGCCCTTTGGGAGGCCGAGGCATGCGGATCACTTGAGGTCAGGAGTTCAAGACCAGCCTGGCCAACATGGTGAAACCCCATTTCTACTAAAAATACAAAAATTAGCTAGGCATGTTTGCAGATGCCTATAATCCCAGCTACTCTGGAGGGTAAGGCAGGAGAATAGCTTGAACCCAGGAGAAAGAGGTTGAGATCGCACCACTACGCTCCAGCCTGGGTAACAGAGCGAGACTCCATCTCTAAATAAATAAATAATTAAATAGAAACCATCTCAAATCTTTCTTGGAAGTAAGACACATTAGTCAATGAATTATATAAATACTAGTTACTGTATTTCTGTTACTTTTCTATAATTTAACTCAGATTAAAGATCAAGTTAGCTGGGAACTGGGCTTAGTGCAGATTCCAGACTTCTGGAGTGTTCCTTCCCAGACATCTGCCATTACCTGTTTAGTCGCAGGAAACTTGTGTCTGGCAGAAGGAGTTGGTTGTCCCATCCATACCCACGCCCCACCTCTCACTCCACATCCACACACTTCTCAGGAGGGGATTCAGGCTCAGAGAGGTGCATGACCTAACGGAGGTCACACAGCAGGCTAGGGCAGCGCTAGGGCACCAGGTTCCCACATGCCACTATTGGCCGAGAACACATCTTCATGGCCGCTTCCCTCTCCCCACCCACTGTGGGCCCTGATGTTGCTCCAAGTACCAGAAAGCCATTGTGGGTGGTTGCTGAGTTATGGTGGACTATATTGTTTGCTGAGAGCCACGGCACCCCCGCAAGTGGAAAACTGCTCAGGGTATTCTAAAGAAGTAAACAGTATGTTTATATCATACCCCAGTTAAACTAGTTCTCAGAGCACAGGATATGTGACCCTGCCCCTGGGGCTCCCTCCTGGAGAATGCTTTCTAGTTTGTCCTTGATCAGTGGTAAGCAGGCACCAGCTGCCCACCTAGTTTATCTTGATTCTATGAGAAAACACAGAACACCTGCTTGTTAATTATAATCACCTGTTCAGAGAAAATAAACACGTGGGGCAGAGTCTGCCCAAGGCCCTCAGCTCGGAAGGCTGTTAGCGCCCCCAAAGTCCCACTTTGCACTCTATCTTTGTGTCTGTTTCTTAATTCCTTCAGCACCACTGGGTTGGGGTCTCTACGGCCGAGCTGGTCTTGGTAGGAGGTGGGGGGGTTTAAGAAGCAGGTGCTTTGTAAGCCGCTGCCAATTCTGAAAGAAGCATTCTCTGTCCCCTGTGTACTCAGGTCAGGAAATGATCTTCCCGAGTGGCCTTTCCAGAGGTGCTGCAAATTGGAGCTTTGAGGTAATAAATAAGAACAATTTAATCCTCAGGACAACACAAAAATACCAAGCGTCATTCTATGCGTTGTATGCGTTCCTTCTGAGGGACATGCATTCATCACACTCTCCACCCTAAAGTAGGTTCACCTTTATCTCAGAGGCTTAGAGATGTCAGATGCCTGTCTCATGGTTCCAAATTCAAGGTAATTGAAGTGTCTGTCACCTATCCTTTATCCAGCCTGAGGGATCGCTGGGCACTGCCCTCCTGCCATCCACAGGAGTTGACTGGGTGACAGCAGATGCATTCACACACAATCCTGGGTGTTCAACAGGATCTCCTGCGCCTCCCACAACTGACACACCAAGCTTCTGTCTGAGGTGAGGAACTTCAGGCTTAACGGTGCGCCTCGTTGTTTGGAGTCAGCTTAAGAGGCCGTGCGCGGTGGCTCACTCCTGTAATCTCAGCACCGCGGGAGGCCGAGGCAGGTGGATCACCTGAGGTCAGGAGTTCAAGACCAGCCTGGCCGTCGCGGCAAAATTCCATCTCTACAAAAATACAAAAATTAGCCAGATATGGTGGCAGGCACCTGTAATCCCAGCTACTTGGGAGGCTGAGGCAGGAGAATCACCTGAACCTGGAGGTGGAGGTTGCAGTGAGCCAAGATCCTGTTACAGCACTCCAGCCTGGGCGACAGAGTGAGACTCCATCTCAAAATAAAAAAAAAAAAAAAAAGAGGACAGAAGCTATTTGCCTGGCATAAAATCATGTTTCCTGCCCTGAACGTTGGCCAGAAGACTGCTTCTCCAGTTCTAATCAATAACAGTCCGGCCTCCCCAACAGCCTTTCAGTGCTTCTTGGCATTGCCCAACTTTTAAATCTCAAGTTGTACGAGGCCTGGAGGTTTTCCTAGCATGGTTTTTCTTACCCAGTTTTTGTTTTGTTTTTTTTCAAAGCAGTTTTTTTTAAAAGAATTTTCATCTCCAAGCATTTCTATCTCTGTTCTTCCCATCCTTTGAAAACAGTCCTGTTATTTTTACCAAGGAAGTCACCTTGCTGAGTGCCCTGAAGGATACAAAGAGTTCATTCATTCACAGGCACGAGGAGAGACTCGAGCCAGAGACGTGGGCGGTACAGTCCGAGCTCAGTATCTCGGAAGAGGCAGGTTCAGGAGCAGAAACTCAAATGCCCTCGGAGGTTGGCAGGTCAAGGACATGACGACCCTGAAGCTGGGGTTCCGCAGGCCCTACCGCAGGCTGCGCGGCAGATAGGCTCACCCCAATACACTGGAAATAAAAACTTTGAAAAAACTCTGCTGGCTGAACACAGCTTGTTCAGAGGCTTATAAATAAGGAAATGAGGATGAGAGAGGAAGTGGCCAAGGCCACTTAGCAGCACAGCTGTCCCCAAGCCCACATTTCTCAGCACCCAGTGTCCTGTGCTTTCCCATGTGCGACACAGGTGCTCTTGCACTGAGGTGTGCTGTGCCAGTACCCCCAAAGCACACACTGA